ATGCAAATACATAGGTAATAAAAATTATAAGGGATAAATAATTAAGGTCAAAAGTAAATAGACAGATTTAAACAAAGTTAAAGTATGTTCAACTAAACTAAGTTCAGTTGTCCAAGCGGAAAACAGAGCTTCATGAAAACAACATGTAATAAACTTGTGTCGAGATTTACTATAGGCAACTATCAGTCAAGTATCTTTTGAGAAGGACACAAGGCTACATTAATCTATTGTACCAACGGCTGCACCTTGAAGTACATTTTATATCAGCAAAACATGACATGTTTCATCATCATTTACAAAGCATTAAGCTTAAATAAAGGCAACAGTAGTATACCGCTGTTCGAAACTCATAAATCGATAGAGATAACAACAAATCCGGGTTACAAACCAAAACTGAGGGAAACGCATCAAATATTAGAGGAGAACAACTACACAACAAAAACACAACATTAAAATGTAACACACACAGAACCCGTTTCAATGAAATTTAAATGTGCATTGAAATTTTAAAAGCTGTAAAAGCAGAATATGTATATCGTTCAATCTAAAACACTGCACAACAAGAAAACACAACAACACAAAGATAACATATAGAATAACAAAACGATAAACAATGATTCTCAAAGAATTCCATGGAAAATTGATTTCGAGCTAAACAAAACCTAGCTAAAGCAAAGAATTAATTTGGAGACCCTGAAAAAGACAGAAGATCCAGTTCCCTAATGACACCCGCTGAAACAGATGACGATGAAGAACACAAGAGTGGTTTGTTGAATATCTATTGTTAAATCTTTAGACGTTTTTAAATTAATAAACCATTTGTATATTTTAAATTATATAACCCTAAAAAAGTGTAACAAAAATTCCGACCTCTCATGCAAATTTAAAAAAGAGGGACTTCAACAAAAACTTACAAAGTCAAACGCTATTATTCAACGGAACAAGTGAAAAACAACCGCATTATTCATGACTTGATAAAATTGAGAATGGAAATGGGGAATGTATCAAGGAGACAACCCGACCAAAGAGCAGAAAACAGCCCAAAGCCACAAATGTGGTTTCAATACAGCGAGCAAAATTCCGCACCCGTAGGCGGGCTTTAGTTTGACCATAAACAAAAATGTGTACTAGTTCAGTGTAAATGGACGTCACTCTAAACTCCGAAACATATAAATGAACTAAAATTAAAAAAAACATACAAGACTAACAAAGGCAAGAGACTCTTGACTTGGGACATTCGTAAAAAGTGGAGGGTTCAATATGTTTTGTTAGATCTCAACTCTTCCCCTATACCTCTAGCCAATGTAGAATAAACAAACACCTCAACAGTACGAATAGTAAAACTCAGTTTGAAAGAGGTCGGAATAGGTAACAAAAGAAACTAAGCAAAATGACAATGATACTTACATTAAAAAAGGACTACTATCAGTTACTGACATGCCAGCTTCACTGCTGAACTTCCGTTGACTGTAACCCAATACGAAAGTTTAATATAAAACATAGTTTTCAGAACAAGGGATATATACTATTCGAATTTTCCAGTAGAATAAACAGTCGAGCAAGACATGAATTATAGACCTAAGCGCAGTTCCTGCTTCACTAGAGACATGCAAGTGGTTACCTGTATGCAAACTGACTTTTTCAATTAGTAGAGTTAGTTTGGTTACGTTACCGAGGTTGATTGATGAGGCGGGGATGTCAGGTATGTTAAGATATTTAAAATAAAACGATTTTCCTATTCATATAAGTTTAATCGTTACCAATTTAATATGAGACCGAAGCAAATCAGATCATTCCACAACTAGGACATATCGAACGATGCGCCATAGATAATGATCAAGTTATCAGGAGATTGAACACACAATTATGCTTTTTGCCAAACGTTTACAAAATAACACTGAAATTTTATCATTTAATAGTCAACCATGAATTATTGAGATTAATATATATTTTGTACCATTTAACAACACGTGCAAATTTATTATTTGACTATGAACCCTCAATGTTATTTTCAAACGTTAAAACGAACATAAAAATGTATATGATAATCTGTATAGTTTAAACTGCGCAACAACAATTCTTTTACCTAGTTGAAATAATTCTCCTCGGTTACGTGCAAAATGTATTAAACGTTTATTAGCATGAAAAGCTTTAAAAAGACCTGTCAAAATCGTTTTGAGATGCAACTACAGATTTAATTACTAAATTATTTACTAAACTTTTAATGCATCCAATATATCTTGTTTTTTTTTCAGAAGCACACTATACCGTAAAAAAGGAATCCACAGGGACCGATTATATATGAGATACTCCGTTTCTATTTCATACGTTTCATACGCTAGGCCACTTCATAATTAAACATATCTCTGAGTTCATATATACAATACAATATATGTCCCGTCTTAATGCACCAGTATATGCTCGACAATTGTTGTAGTTATCATTGTATGTAGAAGTATTGATTGATTGTTAGCTTTACGATCAGTTGCAAATGCAACCACAGTGCAGATCATACATGTCTATTATTCTACAAACAAGGATCCACCATTCCATGCACATGTTCTGGTGATTCAAAATCGAATTTCCATTTGAAGGAGAAGAATTGTGATTCAACATTTTATAAAGATACCAGGCCTTTTCACATTCTATTTCGCCCTAGCAAAATCCGGTTTTCGTTAATAGTAATATTTGATAAAAGCTAGTTTTCCTTTGATCAAAGCTAGTTTTCCTTAACCACGTATTAGCTAGAATGTTTGCCTATAGATTTCATAAAATTCAATGTTCATAGACTTGTGATTCATAACATAATAATGATTGCGTATAATGTAAAGGTAGCACGGTAGTATTTGCATTCCGGAATTTAGGTTGCTCTTTTGTGTACCCTACCTAAGTCAATGTATTTGAACAGTGTGATTGGACAAAAAATACAGTATCAACTGAACATATTTTCCCAAACTGAGGGATGAATCAGGTGTAGAAAAATATGAAATAATTTTACATACAGGTGAAAATGAATTTTTGAGAATTTTTGAGAATTTGTATTCACTGCATGATAAAAGACCTAAAAGCACTAGTGGCCTTAGGTTTTTAAAGATAGCAAAAAAAGTAAACGGTCATGATACATATTTAAATTCATTTCTGAAAATTATAATGAAAGTACTTCAGTAAACTGTGTACATAGAATTTTGGGCAGTGCTAGAAAGTGGTGAAAAGTTTAAAAAGGCTATCATTATCCCTTATGGGCCAGGAAATACTACCGTGCCACCTTAACTGGAATATATATGTTTACAATAAATCAATAGAGGTCCTTTTTTCACCTATACAATTTGTAAGTTTATCAATAAAAAGTTGATTAAGGGCAACTAGAATAAAAACAGCCCTTAAATTCCACCCCTGGGAGTGAAAATTGCTGATTCAGCAAATTTTGCCTGATCTGTGGGTAATAATGTAAAAATTTACCTAGAAAGTAAAATTTTATTATTTTTTATGTAACTTGCAGTACATTTTTAATAATAAATGTTTGCTTTAGCTTTTCGCAGTGTCTGACACATGTGCAACAACTGGAATTTGAGACGCGACATATTTTAGTTGTCTGTACGTCCTATAATTTTCACCGAAATAAGTAAAGTGCATAATTTTTTATTTTTTTCCACACAAGTACAGCTATACTAGTTTTCTTTAGGTTTAATTTGTAGTTCTGTGGTAACATGGCACCAGTGTGAGCTTTTTTGGAACCAGTAAGTGGTTTAGGGGTCCTTACTTATTCATTTAGCCCTCATATTTAGCTGAAATAGAGATAGTATTAAGGGTTTCTTTACATTGACCAGACAATTATTTGGACAAAGAATGTGATTAAGATTGTATATCAGCAAGATTAAATAGTTTATTCATTTTCCATGCAAATATGATGAATTGTTTTGATTTTCTGACCCTGAAATACACAATAAAGGTAAATTGATTATTTAAGGGGACATAATTTAACTTAATGCATACATGAGAAATAGACAAACAGTCATCTTAGAGATATATTCTAGTACATGTATTGTCAAAAAGACTTTATAATAATAGTTAACTGCCATCTAAAGAATCTTGTTAAATTGCCTTCATGATCTGGAAATGCTTAAAGGAATGTAAGGCATGCTGTAAAATGTGGAATGGACTTTACTATCATTTTTCATGATTTAGTGCTTAAACTGTTTCTTTCAGTCAGATTAACTATAAATAGAGTTGGCAATCCAATAATTCCTCCTGAATCATCATGTTTTACTTCTGTGTTGATTTGAAACATCATATATTTGGGTTTTGTTCACTCCTTAAGTAAAAATTGCAGGATGAAAAAAAGGTAAAATCTGCCAGCTGGGGTAAGGGTATAATCTTTAATTTTTTTGGGGTAAGGAATAAGTGCAGACTAGTATTCTTTATTGAAATATGTTTCCTAGTAAGAAGTCTATGCATCATAGGTGTTATGACTGGTTTCAAGTTTGTGATGTCTTGGTTAAGGTAGCACGGTAGTATTTGCATTCCGGAATTTAGGTTGCTCTTTTGTGTACCCTACCTAAGTCAATGTATTTGAACAGTGTGATTGGACAAAAAATACAGTATCAACTGAACATATTTTCCCAAACTGAGGGATGAATCAGGTGTAGAAAAATATGAAATAATTTTACATACAGGTGAAAATGAATTTTTGAGAATTTTTTTAAATTTTGTATTCACTGCATGATAAAAGACCTAAAAGCACTAGTGGCCTTAGGTTTTTAAAGATAGCAAAAAAAGTAAACGGTCATGATACATATTTAAATTCATTTCTGAAAATTATAATGAAAGTACTTCAGTAAACTGTGTACATAGAATTTTGGGCAGTGCTAGAAAGTGGTGAAAAGTTTAAAAAGGCTATCATTATCCCTTATGGGCCAGGAAATACTACCGTGCCACCTTAATGATAGTGTTACGTTTCAGTAATAATAGAAACGAAAGTAGATTTTACGGAAATACCCATTTGCACATTGAACCTCAGCTTACTACACAAAATGGCAGGTAAGATAATTTGAAATATATTGCTACAAAATTTAAACATAGAGTTTATTTTTATTCAATCGCAAGTTTCTGTGTTTCAGATAGGAACATTAAAATTAAAAGGAATCATATAAACAGAGTAGATTAAAAATATTGAAAAATGAATAATGAAATCGAAAGTTAAAAGTTTATATTTGTAGTTAAAAGTTTATATTTGTAGTACGGATAATACTCAATAAAAAGCATGTAACTGATGACCTTTTCTAGTGTTTGCTTTTATATAGTTACACGCTTCACAGTTTAATCGCTAAACATGGACTATTTTGTTACAGGTTTCTTATATTAGAAGTACCCACAATGAGTTATATTTATATCACTTAAGAGTCACGTGTTAAGTAGGGAAGGACATTTAACGCTTTGCATACCATTGACTTTTTTTTCATGTGCACTGTGTTTATTTATAATAGAAAGAATTTTACAAAAACTATTACAATCATCTTTCATTGAATCAAGTTCAGCAACCATTGTGGTGAGGATTAAGGAGAATGATCATTAACATCTATATGATATATCTAAAAACACAAATACATTCTTGAGATTCATTCATTGACAATTCATTGTTCAATATATTTCCCTTTGCCTTTTATATTCCTTGCGGTGCAAGTTTTGGTTGATTACTGCTACAGACCAAAATGTTACATACGATAAACTGTCAAAATTCCTGGTGCGTTTTGCAAACTGGCTGTACTCTATTGGTAGAAGCATATTCCAAATCTCTGTTATCATCAAATTAAAAAAGGAAGTAGGAAAACTCTAACTTTATATTTAAAAATACCTCACTTAATAGGAAATAATTGTTTATATCGAAAAGCCATTATCGCATACAATATGCTGGTATAAGGTTTCTATGAAGGCAAAATTATAGAAATAGTAGTGCTTCATGATTGTTCACCCATCCATGCGGAATGAAACAGACATTTATTGTGCATACAATCACAGAAACCACAAGTTAAAAAATTAATTAAAATATGGTTGTCATGGTAACTAAATGGTGAAATTTTTTTTCTTTCAAATCTTTAAGAACTTAATAGTGCTGTTGACACTTTTAACGTTATTGCTGATATCACACACAAAAGAAACAAAAATATATGGTTGGCATGGTTGCCATGGTAACAGAATATCAGATTAAACGTACTTTAATTACGATGTATATTTTCATAATGTATATATATATAATGAGGCCATAATCAGCTATACAATTAAAGTTATATGTACAAACCAAAGCCGTACACGTCCCTATTTCAACTTACCTATAAAACCTTTACATCATTCTATTTATTCGTCACCAACTAATATATTGTTCAACAGACCAACATTTTATGGGTACTAAACATTATATTTAATTAAATATGTTAGTTAAATGTAGATTTATTCCTTCGAAACACCAACATATGACATTGTCATATTCAGCCCTTCGCCACCTCCACCACCCCACAATAAAAAAAAGAATAGATATTTTTTTGTTAAATTAACATTCTTCAAAGTCTTCATGGAATGATCAAGAAAACTTTAAGTATATATGTGGTATGTTAAAGATAGATGATATACATTTTATTCTCGACATCAATTTTGGAATAAAATAACATAAAACTGATATAGCAAGGTGTCATTTTAATCCACCATTTTCTACATAAGAAAATGCCTGTACCAAGTGAGGAATAGGACAGTTGTTGTCCATTCGTTTGATGTGTTTTATCTTTTGATTTTGCCATTTGATTAGGGACGTTCCGTTTCTGAATTTTCCACGGACTTCTGTATTTTTGTGATTTTACTTTTAACTGCTCGCTAAGACGAAGTAAAAACCCCACATCCTGGTTTAAAGTTTGAGTATGCTAGTGACTGAAATACACGGGATCAAAAAAGTTTTTTTTCTTATCCTATATTGAAATTGCGTGCACATTTGCACATCAGGATCTAACAATATGCTAGTTTTACATAGATATTTTGAACTGTCTTTGAGATGACAAAGTAATATCTCAACAGGGCAATAATTTTCTTAAGGATGATTTTGACGATCTCATGATCGTTGGTCTTTATTATAAAAACAACATGCACATTAGCATATAATGATCTAATAATATAATTACAGCACGATAATATGATCAATCATTAGAATGCTTTACAATGATCAGGTATGTAATAGAAATGGCCAAAATTTTATAAGCCTAAAGAGTCATGTCACTAGGAAAACCAAAGCATTCTATCTATGTGCAGCTGTATATAAGATTCATACAATATACAAGTACCAGCTTTCATGTAGATACGATACATTTTCATAAAACTATTAAAACGATGTGTTTCCATTGGTTAATATATAAATGATACTAAGGTTTACATAATATTCTGTTTTTATCAGTCCCTCGTTATGAGCTTTTCTGCCATATCAGATTTAATTTTACGGTTTTTCATTAAGATCACACAAAATTGCGACAACATTAATTGGGACAATATACCTTTTACTTCCAAAATCGCTCATGACAAATGATCTGAACTTTACTTGTAATAGCATGTTTACCAAATATATCAATAAAATTTGATTTTCAATTCAAGTAAGATATTTACACGTATATATATTTTACGCTTATTTTAATGATGTTTAGATATAATTTGGTTAAAAATATCAATTTGGCTATTTTCCATGTTACAGACAACATAACAGAAAATGAATCAAGAGAACTATATCATTTCATGTGTCATCATATAGTTGGAACAGAAGATCATGTTAAACAAATAAGGTTGTTAAACGCAGCAAGGGATAATTTGACATATAACGAGTCAATAAGAACTATTACAAGCGGAAGTTTTGGAGAAGGACTTCAGCTGCGAGGTAGTGATATAGATATTATGTTTGTTCAGAAATGTTCGGAGGTTTATGATGTTAAACCCCGTTTCCATCCAAGTATGTATTATCTGATTATGGATACAAACAATGTTAAACCCGGATTTACTCAGTTGAGACTAGAATATAGCAGTAGACAGACTTTACTTGACAACAGTGTACAAATTGCTGATAATAATTATTTATCCAGCACATTATGGAAACAGCAGTGGCTGCCAGTTGGCGAAGAATATACAATTCATGGGCCATGCATATTCAACAAACAAGAAGTATTTGACATTGCCGGATGCTTACATTGTAGATCCTGGGTAGCACCTGCAATAAATTGGATAAAAAGATCTAATAACACATGGCCAAGTTGTGATGCCAAACAAAGTGTCATTAAACACGGAGTACTGTTTGTACCAATCGGGGTAAAGGATTCATCAACAGAGGATCTGGAATGGAGAATATCATTTTCGATTGCTAGAAAACTTTTAATACATACCTTCATAGACACTCAATTATTATGCTATGCTCTAATGAAAATTCTTTTGAAAGATGTAATAGCTAAGAACCCTGCATGTAAAGAATTACTCTGCTCTTATTTCATAAAAACGATTGTTTTCTGGATTTCTGAAGAAATGCCACAATCCGCATGGAGACCTGACACATTCATACCTTGTTTTATGCAATGTTTTAGCAGACTCATTTATTGCGTTGAGTATTCAGTTTGTTTGCATTACTTCATCCCAGAGAACAATATGTTTGAGAATAAAATTGAGGGTCTTGCTCGTAAAATACTTTTAAAAACACTATATGAATTGCAGAGGTACGGTTGGCGATGTATTTCATTGTCAGATCAAGTATCCAAATTTTTTAAACCAATGCAGTATTTCAACACGGAACAGAACCCATTGTATACATGGCATATACATGATGTTGGGAAAACACCGGATTCCTCATTATTGCATTTGGCATATTCTATTTTCCTTTCTAAATTCCAAATATTGCAGCGATTTAATCAAGGGATACAACATACAGTTTCATGCAACAAATCTTCAATTCAATACTTATATATACACTACATGTCATTGATCTGTTCCATTCGTGCCCAGTGTACCCCACTTAACAGTGCTTACAGTAATGATAAATACCGATACCGACATGTCTTTGTACACTTCTACAAAATATATATCATGACGCTGTTTCTGGATGGCTTATGTTAGCTTCCTTTTTCTATAAAACAAAACAATATAATAAATCTTTACAAATCATCATGTATTCTTATTCGAAATTTACCCCAGAAAAACTGTACCCCTTCATGGACATGTCGGATGTTCATCAACAACTATTCAAATATAAATCTCTTCAGCAAAAAAGTATTGTTCATTTGTGGAAATATTTTCTTGTTGATTGTATTACTTTTGTACGGAACTCGGTTTTAATACCAGATGAACTACAAATAGATAATGCTGAAGGATTGGTTTTGCCATCTTCAGCTTATGTCCACTACCTTAGTTTTCTATGTCATTATCATCTCAATAATGTCAGACAATGTCATGATAGACTCCACGATCTAGACCTAGTTGCGTCAACAAACTGTGTAATTGGAGAATAGTATATAAAAGCAGTAGGCTATTATCTATTTGGTATTGTGTTATAGTTATTAAGTGACACTGAATCTGCACGACAAGCGTTCTTACGATCTGTTGAATTAAACAATAATTCATCTGACAATCCTGCCGCCAGTGAACTTATGTTAATGAGTTCATTGTTATATATGTGCGTTCTGCTATATCACCAATATCATTATTCAACTGTACTTGCTTTGTCTTTTGGAGACAAGCACAACTTATGTACAGAGAAAGCATATTGGACTTAATAGTAATGTACTCTAATTATTATTATCATTAAATCTACAATCATACGAAAAAAATATAAAAGTAACAATATATTGTAAAGACATGACGCTGATTGTTGCTATGTTTGATTTGCAATGGATCTCAAATAGCGGTTCTTTTTCAATTAAATAGTGTACTTGTCATTCCATTAAAAATCTGTGATAAATTAGTTTTTATTTGTCTTTTGGTCTCACGTACTCATTACTGGTTGTTATCATGCATTTTTTTCTAAATTTGAGATTGATTTACCTTTATCCGCTTCATTTTGGGAAGTAAATATTGTAGCTTTATGTTTGGTATTGATGTAAAAAGTCGCACAGTACTTTTCTCAATTCATTCGAATATCTGTTATAATATTATGAAGTAATCTCTATTTTCTTATTTTTTGTAATTCTTCGAAAGCAGTTTAAACGTCGGGTCGCATAGGTTAGCTAAAAATTCTCTGAAACTGACATTATCAAGATGCTTGATTTCTTGATTGACAACATATTTGTTACGTTTGGAGGACGTGTTTTTCAACAGACTGTCGGAATTCCAATGGGAACTAATTGTGCCCCTCTTCTTGCCGACTTGTTTTTTTATTATTATGAGGCTGACTTCATACAGGAACTTCTTAGGAAGAAAGATAAGAAGTTAGCAATATCCTTTAACTCTACGTTCCGCTATATAGATGATGTTCTCTCACTAAATAACACAAAATTTGGTGACTATGTTGAACGAATCTATCCCATCGAACTAGAGATAAAGGATACTACAGATACAGTTAAGTCTGCCTCATATCTTGACTTACATCTAGAAATTGACAATGAGGGTCGGTTGAAAACAAAACTTTACGACAAAAGAGATGATTTCAGCTTCCCTTTTGTGAACTTTCCATTTCTATATAGCAACATTCCAGCAGCGCCTGCATACGGAGTATATATCTCCCAATTGATACAATATTCCCGGGCTAGTGTTTCCTATCATGATTTCCTTGATAGAGAATTGCTGCTCACAATGAAGCAATTAAACCAAGAGTTCCAAATGGTGAAGTTGAAATCATCCCTTCGTAAATTTTACGGACGCCATCACGAGTTGGTTGACCGTTATGGAATAACCGTTTCACAGATGATATCGGATATGTTCGTTATGTCGTAACTACAATACCCTTCCCTTTTCACGAATGTGACTTACCGAATTAAACTATTTACCGGATTTGTAATAACATAAGCAACACGACGGGTGCCACATGTGGAGCAGGATCTGCTTACCCTTCCGGAGCACCTGAGATCACCCCCAGTTTTTGGTGGGGTTCGTGTTGCTTAGTCTTTAGTTTTCTATGTTGTGTCATCTGTACTTTTATTTGTCTGTTTGTCTTTTTATTTTTGGCCATGGCGTTGTCAGTTTGTTTTCGATCTATGAGTTTGACTGTCCCTCTGGTATCTTTCGTCCCTATTTTAGCACTTTTGTGTTGACAATGACAATTTCTTGGTATAAAATAAAATTGAGAATGGAAATGGGGAATATGCCAAAGAGACAACAACCCGACCAAAGAGCAGACAACAGCCGAATGCCACCAATGGGTCTTCAATGCAGCGAGAAAATCCCTCACCCGGAGGTGGTCCTCAGCTGGCCCCTAAATAAAATTGTGTGCTAGTTCAGTAAAAAAATGGACTTCACACAAAACTCCAAAACATATAAATGAACTAAAATTAAAGACTAACAAAGGCCAGAGGCTCCTGACTTGGGACAGGCGCAAAAATGCGGCGGGGTTAAACATGTTTTTTGAGATCTCAACCCTCCCCTATACCTCTAGTCAATGTAGAAAAAAGAAAAACATAGCAATATGCTATGTTTATCTAAGGTATGGGTCTTGACTCTTGATTAATTTCGATTCGCCAGTTAGACATATGCATGTTTTGAAGAAAGAAAACATTAGCTTTGGATGGTGTACATGTACAATTATATATAAGCACTCCATTTAGGCACGTTTTGCCGTTTTGCTCAACAAAATACCATTCATATGTGACCTTCTTAGAGATTCATACAGGACGTTTTTCAATCCATATTATAAATGTTCCGTGTGATCTTATACTTAACAATAAATAGTTACTACTAAAAAATTAGAACGAATTTACAGTACGTTTATATATTTTCATATATTATCTCTTGACGGCTTTAGTCAGTCCATAAGACACAACACAGAAAACTAAAGACTAATCAAAACGAACCCCACCAAAAACTGGGGGCGATCTCTGGTGCTCCGAAAGGGTAAGCAGATTCTGGTCTGCATGTGACACCCGTCGTGTTACTCATATTATTAGAAAGCGGATAAATAGTCTCTTAGAACATGTACGAAGAGTTATTTAGTGGAAAAAAATCCCGGTTTATTTAAAGAAATTGAGAAATAGTTTTTAAAGATTTGGCAATGATTGTATTAAGCAATTAATTGATATTGATTGGTACGGCTGCTATTACATGCTACTACTATCGGAACAATCAATGAACTTGCGGACGTTTAAGAAAATAAGAAATTAAACTGAAATGAAACTTTAAAAAAATAAACATAACATACATGCTTAAAATCGCAAAAAAAAGAACACTTTCCCTGGGCAGATATGACGATTGATGTTACATTACTATAGCTCTGTGTACAGTGTGTACATATGCATAGTGCTCCGTCATATGCTCGACCAATGTGAACTATATTCATCTCTTATGAAACATGTAATACTGTCTGCAGTTTTCATCAAATTACAAGTCATATAGTTCGCTACTGTTGAATTTCAAATAACAGAAAACGATTAAAGTTATGACCTAATTCGTGTACACAGTCCTTATTCAAGTTAAACTTGTCATATCATTTTCAAAGGTACGTTGATTTTTATACAATTCTATATACCAAACTATTGAACAACAAAACAAGTATTTTATAGGTATTACTTAAAGGGGACATGGTAGTATTTCCTGGCCCATAGGGATAATGATAGCCTTTTTAGAATTTTCACCACTTTCTAACACTACAAAACTCTACAAACAAAGTAAACTGAAGTACTTTCATTATAATATTCAGAAATGAATTTGAATATGTATCATGATCGTTTACTTTTTTTTCGCTATTTTTATAAACCTAAGATCACTAGTGCTTTTAGGTTTTTTATCATGAGTGAATACAAAATTTAAAAAATTTCTCAAAAATTCATTTTCACCTGTATGTAAAATTATTTCATATTTTTCTACATCTGATTCCTCCCTCAGTTTGGGAAAGTATGTTCAGTAGATACTGTACTTTTTGTCTAATCACACTGTTCAGATAAATTAAAAGTAGGGTACACAAAAGAGCAACCTGAATTCCTGAATGTAAATAATACCGTGCATCCTTAACAAAGACATCACAAACTTTTGAAACCAGTTATGACCAAAAAAAAATATACCCCTAACCCAGCTGGCAGATTTTCACTTTTTTTTTCATCTTACAACTTTTTCTTAAGGAGTGAACAGAAACCAAATATATAATGTTTCAAGTCAACATAGAAGTAAAACTTGGTGATTCAGGAGGAATTATTGGATAATCAACTCTATTTCTAGTTAATCTGACTGAAAGAAACAGTATAAGTACTAAATCATGAAAAGGATAGTAAATTCCATTCCACATTTTACAGCATGCCTTACATTCCTTTAAGCATTTCCAGATTATGAAGGCAACATAGCAAGATTGTTTAGATGGCATTTACCTATTATTCTAAGACCTTTTTGATAATACATGAACTAGAATATATCTCTAAGTTGGCTGTTTGTCTCTTTCTCATATATGCATTAAGCTAAATTATGTCTCCTTACATAATCAATTTACATTGTTTGTGCTTTTCAGGGTCAGAAAACTAAAACAATTCATGACATTTGCATAAAAAATGAATCAACTATTTAATCTATCTAACATACAATCATAATTACATACTTTGTCCAAAAAATTGTCTTATCAATACAAAGAAACCCCATTTGCCAACTCTATTTCACCTAAATATGAGGGCTAATTGAATAAGTAAGGACCCCTTAACCACTTGCTGGTTCCTAAAAAGCTTATTCCGGTGTCATGTTACAACAGAACTACAAATTAAACCTGAAGAAAACTAGTATAACTGTACTTGTGTTGAAAAAAATTAAACATTATCACCGGTGAAAACTAGTTGCCTGTACATCATATAGTTTTCACCGGTGAAAACTATATGATGTACAGGCAACTAAAATATGTCGCGTCTCAAATTCCAGTGTTTGCACATGTGTCAAATACTGCGAAAAGTTACAGCGAGCATTTATAAATACAAATATATTGCAAGTTACATTAA